TCATTAAACACCTAAGAATCTTTAGGGGGCGATAGCACAGCGACAAAGAACGCGTCGAACCGCAGAGGTGTCAAGTATGAATCATAAGAACGGCAGAATTTGCCTAAACCGCTAATTTCTTAGGGTAAAACTCTACCCCACGTCGGTGACTTGCAAAAAATAGTGGCCATATGGTATTTCGGTGTGGTCGTAAAAGAACGGGCGAGTGTAATTGTCAGGTTTTGACGCAATTCAACGGTTTTGTGCTTGAATTCGCCTTGATCCTTCTGACAGCTGATGTTCACTGACATAAGCAGCCAATATGTGACCGCTGTTGCTGAACATGAACCTGTTTCACAAACAAATCGAGAAGTGAAGAACGGCAAATGCCTTTCATGCATGAAAACTGTTGGATGTCGTTAAATACGTTTTATTTCAACCGACCATAAAAGAATCGGTCATCCGCTTTTCATCATGGATTTGTCTGATGTAACATTTATAGACTCATTTCAGAGTGACCATAAATGCAACTAACTGCTTCTTCCGAATGACATTCTGCTTAAGACATAAATTACTTTCTGACTGTCACATCTTTCAGCCATTTCAGTAGCCAATCAACGTTACATGGCAGTCATCCAACTGGCATCTTCTGTCGAATCAGTGTTACGCTGACGTCAGCTACAGTAATTTGCTGAACTGGAACGAATAATGACTTTAAGAACGCCGCATCATGTTAATGTTGTCAGCTATTAGTCATGCCAAAACAAAGATAAAGCAGCTACCATCGCCTATTATACTTTGCCCCTACGGCTATCGTCTAAGAAATGACTGGGTTTCAGTCAGACTCTTCGTGGTTACTAATTAAACCAGTTAAAATGCTGATTTCGTAGCAGACCGAATGATACATCGGTCTGTCATGTACAACGGCACTGTATTTCGTCCTGTCCCATGATGCTGAAGAGTATTTGATCATCGCTGCTGCTGCTTCAAGACAGGAGACAAGTTGTGCACACAAACGGACAACAGGGCCTTTCGCGACATCAAAAAAATTCTTACATGTCTCTTTCCAAAAGCAACGCTTCGTACTCCTCTCTACTAACGCCACAAGAAAGTTGCCCTTGACGCATCGACTGACATAACTCTGTTTGACACTGGAGCTCATTCTGAAGCTGACGAACCAACGCGGCTTGTCTCTAAACAAAACAAGTTATCAATCACTAGCAATGAAAATGACAGAATAAAACTAAAAATAACTTATAATAATTAGACAATAGAATCGATTAAAAAAGCTGATTTCAAACAACCCCCCCTTGGCCAAGATATCGTGCCCCAATGTAGCAACTGACGAAAGAAGTCGCACTGACATTTATCACATGAATTAATAGTTCAAGAACATCACAAACTAACAAATAACGAACTCTAGTGCCATAATCAGCATAAGATCCGTGAATCTGATTTCTTATTTTCTTTTCTGCTTTCAAATAAAGCGTAGCACGTAATAGGCTTCAATGGTGATGCAACCGTTTTGTCATCTCACTTAATTAAGAAAGGTGCAATTTTGCGCTTTACTGCTTTCCAACCGAATGATACAGACGCCTGAGGCGACTTTATTAGGAAAAACTCAACAAACAGATCTTTCTTACAGCTAAGAATCATAGCCCTGAAGCTAAATTAAACTTTAAATTTAAAAAAACAAATGATCAACATCGATGATAAAAATTTAAGTTACAGACACTGGAAAGCAAAACTTTTACAAAACTGGAGAGAATTCTGTATATAAATGTGCATTTCACAAACCCGCAAATGCAAGAAATTCTTAAATCGAAGTGCAATTTTTCAAATACGACGAAATCACTAGCGTTTGTAACCGGCTATGAAAACTAATTTTCGCTACGAACTGGAAATTCAGCCGGCTAATTAGTCTACAGATGATTTTGCCTCAATGAAATCCCTACATCAGATATTAAACATTGTCCCATTACTATTGGCTAAGCGCTTCTGTCACAGCCAGCGTAACTGAACATGTTCTTGGGCATCAGCAACTCTGAACAAAATATGTCAAGGATAGTGGGTTTTGTCAGTCTGTCAGTCACTCCTCTGGCAGTGTTTGAAGTTGGGCAAAAATATCTCAAGTTCGCAAGGAAT